AAACACAGATTGTAACAAGACAAAGAAGGGCATTACATAATGATAAAAGGATCAATTCAACAGAAGGATATAACAATTGTAAACATCTACACACCCAACACTGGAGCACCTAAATACATAAAACAAATATGAATGGACATAAAGAGAAATTGATGGTGATACACCCACTTACATCAAAGTATAGATCATCCAGACAGAAAATCAATAAGGAAACAACGTCTTTGAATGACACATTGGATCACATGGGCATAACAGGTATATACAGAACATTCCATCCAAAAACAACAGAACACACATTCTTTTCAAGTGTTCACGGAACATTCTCCAGAATAAATCACATATAAGGCCATTAAACAAGCCTCAATCAATTTTTTTTAAAAGATTTTTATTTATTTGAGACAGAGAGAATGAGAGAGAGAGAGCACATGAGAGGGGGGAGGGTCAGAGGGAGAAGCAGGCTCCTTGCCGAGCAGGGAGCCCGATGCGGGACTCGATCCAGGGACTCCAGGATCATGACCTGAGCCGAAGGCAGTCGCTTAACCAACTGATCCACCCAGGCGCCCAAGCCTCAATCAATTTAAGAAGACTGAAATCATACCACGCATCTTTTCCAACCACAGTGGTATGAGACTAGAAATCAATCACAAGAAAAAAACTGGAAAAACCACAAACGCATGGAGACTAAACAATATGACACTAAACAACGAATGGGTCAACAAAGAAATCAAAGAAGAAATTAAAAAAGTAGATGGAGACAAATGAAAATGAAAACACAATGGTCCAAAATCTTTGGGGGACAGTAAAAGTGGTTCTAAGAGGGAAGTATATAGAGATACAGGCCTACCTCAAGAAACAAGAAAAAACTCAAAGAATCTAACCTTACACCTAAAGGAACTAGAAAAAGAAGAAAGGTCAAAGTGAGTAGAAGAAAGGAAATAATAAAAATCAGAGCAGAAATCAGTGACACAAAGACTAAAACAACAATAGAGAAAATCAATAAAATGAAGAGCTGGTTCTTTGAGAAGGTAACAAAATTGACAAACCGTCAGCCAGACCTATCAAGAAAAAAAAGAGAAAGGACCCAAATAAATAAAATCAGAAATGAGAGAGAAGTGACGACTGACACCACAGAAATACAAAGGAATATAAGAGAAGACTATGAAAAATTATATGCTAACAAACTGGACAACCGAGAAGAAATGGATAAATTCCTAGAAACATACAATCTTCCAAAACTGAACCAGAAAGAAATAGAAAATCTGAACAGATCAATTACAAGTAACAAAATTGATTTGGTAATCAGAAACTACCAAAAAATAAAAGTCTAGGACCAGATGGACTCACAGGGGAATTCTACCAGACATTTAATGAAGAGTTAATACTTATTCCCCTTAAGCTATTCCCAAAAATAGAAGAGGAAGCAATGCTTCCAAATATATTCTATGAGGCCAGCATTACCCTGACACCACAACCAAAGACACCACAAAAACAGAAAACTATAGGCCAATATCCCTTATGAACATAGAAGCAAGAATCCTCAACAAAATATTAGCAAACTGCCTACAACAATACATTAAAAAGATCACTCACCATGATCTGGTGGAAGTTATTCCAGGGATGCAGGGATGGCTCAGTACTCAGAAATCAATTAACACCATACACCACATCAATACAATGAAGGATAGAAATCCTCTGACCATCTCAACAGATGCAGAAAAAGCATTTGCAAGATTCAACATCCATGCATGATAAAAACTCTCAATAAAGTGTGTTTAGAAGGAATATACCTTAACATAGTAAAGGTCATATATGAAAAACCCACAGCTTGCTTACATCATACTTAATGGTGAAGAACTGAGAGCTTTTCCTCTAAGGTCAGGAACAAGACAAGGATGTCCACTCTCACCACTTTTACTCAACATGATACTGAAAGTCCTAGCCACAGCAATCAGACAAGTAAAAGAAATAAGAAGCATCCATGTTGGTAAGAAGAAGTTAAACTGTCACTATTTGCAGATGACATGATACTATATGTAGGAAATCCTAAAGACTCCACCAAAAAACTACTAGAAGTAATAAACAAATTCAGTAAAGTGGCAAGATACAAAATTAATATAGAAATGGGTGACATCTCTATACACAAAGAATAAAGTAGCAGAAAGGGAAATAAAAAAAAAAATCTATAATTGCACCAAAAAGAATAAAATACCTAGGAATAAACTTAACCAAAGAGGTGAAAGTCCTGTACTCTGAAAACTACAAAACACTAGTGAAAGAAATTGAAGATGACACAAATGGAAAGACATTATATGCTCATGGATTGGAAGAATTAACATTGTCAAAATGTCCACATTACCCAAAGCAATCTACAGATTCGATGCAATCCCTATCAAAATACCAACAGCATTTTTCTTTTTTTTTTTTTTTGAAGATTTTATTTATTTATTTATTTTGGGGGGGGGCAGGAGGGAGGGAGATAGAACACGAACAGGGGAGGGGTAGAGGGAGAAGCAGACTCCCCGCTAAACAGGGAGCCTGACACCAGGCTCTATCCCAGGCCCCTAGGATCATGACCTGAGCCGAAGGCAGACACCACCCAGGCGTCCCTCCACAACAGCATGTTTCACAAAACTAAAACAAATATTACTAAAATTTGTGTGGAACCACAAAAGACCCCAAAGACCCAAAACAATCCTGAGAAAGAACAAAGCTGGAGGTACCACAATACCAGATTTTAAGATCTACTATAAATCTATAGTAATCCAAAGAGTATGGTACTGGCACAAAAATAGACACATAGAACAATGGAACAGAATAGAGATCCCAGAAATAAATCCACAATTATATGGTCAATTAATCTATAACAAAAGAGGCAAGAATATACAATGGGGAAAAGACAGTTTCTTCAACAAATGGTGCTGGGAAAAGTGGATAGCTACTTACAAAAGAATAAGCTGGACCACCTACTTACACTATATACAAAAATAAACTCAAAATGGGTTAAAGACTTAAATGTGAGACCTGAAACCATAAAAATCCTAGAAGAGAGCAAAGGCAGTAATTTCTCTGACATGGGCCATAGAAACATTTTCTTGATATGTCTCCTAATGCAAGGGAAAGAAAAGCAAAAATAAACCATTGGGACTACATCAAAATTAAAGAGCTTCTGCACAGCAAAGGAAACCATCAACAAAATAGAAAGACAATCTACCGAATGAAGGAAGATATTTGCAAATGATGGGTTCATATCCAAACTATATAAAGAACTTATACAACTCAATACCAAAAACCACACAATCCAATTAATAAATGGGCAGAAGACCTGAATGGGCATTTTTCCAAAGAAGACATACAGATCAACATCACTAATCGGGGAAATGCAAATCAAAACCACAATGGGATATTACCTTATACCAGTCAGAATGGCTAAAATCAAAATGACAAGAAATAACACATCCTTGGCAAGGATGTGGGGGAAAAAAGGAACTCTTGTGCACCATTGGTGGGAATGTAAATTGGTGCAGTCACTGTGGAAAACAGTATGGAGTTTCCTCAAAGAAATAAAATTAGAAACAGTATGTGATCCAATAATTCCACTACTGGATATTTACCCAAAGAAAATGAAAACACTAATTTCAAAAGATATCTGCATCCTTATGTTTATTGCAGCATTATTTACAATAGCCAAGATATGGAAGCAACCTAAGTGTCTATAATTAGATGAATGGATAAGGAAGGTGTGTGCGTGTGCACGCACGCACACACACACACACACACACAGAGGAATATTACATAGCCCCAAAAAAGGATGAGATCATGCCACTTGAGACAACATGGATGGACCTAGAAGGTATTATGCTAAGTGAAATAATCAGACTCAGACAAATAGCATAGGATTTCATTTGTAAGTGGAAACTTAAAAAAAAGAATAAACAAACAAAAAGCAGAATCAGAACTGTAAATACAGAGAACAAACTGACGGTTGCCAGAGAGAAGGGAGGTGGGAGGTTGGGCCAAACAGGTGAAGGGGAGAGGGAGACACAGCCTCCAGTTGTGCAATGAGTAAGTCAGGGGAATAAAAAGCAGAGCGTGAGGAATAGTCAGTGATACTGTCATAGTGATGTAACGGGACGGACGGCAGCCACACTTGTGGGGAGCGTAGCGTAATGTATGCGATTGTCAAATCACTGAGTTGTACATCTGAAACTGATGCAATATTGTGTGTCAGCTACACTAAAATAAAAGTTTTGGGGGCACCCAGGTGGCTCAGTTGGCTGAGTGGCCAACTCTTGACTTTGGCTCAGGTCACGATCTCAGGGTCATGAGATAGAGCCCCGTGTTGGGCTCCGCACCGGGCGTGGAGTCTGCTTGGTATTCTCTCTCTCCCTCTCTCTCTGCCCCTCTCACCCAGCGCTCAATCTCATTCTCTTTAGAAAAAAAAAATAAGTTTTTAATTTTGAGAAAAAAGTCAATCGAATATGTCATGTTTACAAAATGCCTTCAAAGTAACACTTTAATTAGCATTTGATTCAACACTAGGGATTCAATACTAGGTGACACACAAACACCGTAACATTTATATTTTTGTTTCCTCATTCTAGGTTTTTCATTAAATTTTTCTTTTTCATTTTCAATAGAAAAACAAGTTATTTTAAAAATATTTTTCTTGTATCTTGTACCTGTATGACTTTATTGTATTTAATGGGTTTTGTTTTGTTTTGTTTTCAAACACGATAAATAAAATGTTCCCTTGCAAGAAAAGAAAAGCCATTTCCTGGGACTTGCCCTAGATTTATGGTCAGATTCCTGGGCGTGCTTTCACATTCTCTCCAACTGTAAGTTTCAGAGTCATGTTTTTAAAGGACATGTTTGACTGAGTCATCACAGATTTCCACCTTAAGTTTTCTTTTCCTCCTCTTGAACTGAATCAGTTTCACTTTCCATTTCCATTTCCTTTCACTGAGGCAATCGCTCAGAAAAAGGGAGAAAACATCAGCTGATGTGCCCCCCTCCGCGGCCCCCACACTCCTTATATAGCTCCTTCAGCACTGACTTGAGGCAGACTCCGAAAATTTCAGAAGAACGAATCAGCTGGGAGCCCCGCTTTTCAGAATGGAAGATAAGCAGATGGCAGACATGAGGTCAGTGACACAGGAATGCATCAGATCTTGGATGCAGATTGTAAACTGAGCTTCTGGGTGCATGCAGGGTCCTGTGTGGTCCGGTTGCTCATGGATGAAGCGTGCGCTTTCTCTGTGTTTTTTTTTTTTTTCCAGTGGACACACTCAGGCTCCTGGAGCTTCTAGAACTGCTCCCCTAGCTGGGAGCCCGGATGACAGAAAGGTTTGGCAGGAGTGTTAGACCCACTTGGGCACAGTTTGCAGATTCAGAGTTAGACCTCGGGGGAATTACTCGTTATGGGCTTTTTGGTGGTGGTTTTCTTTGAAAGGACTAAGAGGTTAAAACCTTCTTGCCTTTTTAAAAGGAAGCATTTCTTTTCAACAGATATTATTATAGGTGGAATTGGTAGTGCAAACGCAACTCCTGCTGAGAAGAATTTTGTTCTGAAACGTTTGATCAGTCCTAGGTGGGAAGTTGAAGAAACAATTATTACAGATGGGCATTTTTCCAGAAATCTTTTACGAAAACAAAACAAGAAGCTTAGGGTTTGTTTTATTTCTGTGATCAGAGCTGGGGAGCAGCAAGCAATCTCCCATCAAAACATAATGACCTAATCTCTTTTTTAATACTGATGTAATAATGTCTAGTGATGGAAAGCAGGTCAGTGGTTGCCTGGGATGGTGCGGAGGGTTGGCGCTGGCCAGGAGGGCACACTGGGGAATCTTTGGGGATGAGATCGAGTCTGTAAGGAGATAATGGTGGTGGTTGCTTGGCTATATACATTGGTTAAAATTCATCAAACTGTACACTTAAAATTTTATTGTATGTAAAGTATAATCTTAGCAAACTTGGTTTTTTAAAATGCTTGTAGACATGCTTAAGATCTGCCATCAGATAGAGCTGAGAGAAGAAGAAACTGTTCCCATCAAACACCCATGGGGAGGGAGGATCCCAGTGACCACTCAGGGAGTGAGGAAAGAAAGCCCCCCCCTCCCCCGCCAAATGCTCTGAGGGGGCTGGTATTTGGGGATGGGCTGGGTAAGAGGAAGTCACTGCCAAGTGCCTCGGGTTATGCTTTCCTAACTATGTGTCTCCATGAGCGGGGCTGACCAGAAAACGTGGCCCTGCCCAGCGCCGTGTTTGCGGGTTTGCCGAAGAGGCTTTACAGCAGCCTGTGCTTGGGTGTGTCCAGAGCCCCTGACCTGAGGAAGTCTGGGGGGTAGGGGCTCTCTAGACTCTGCTGGACTAATGCCCACATCAAGCTGCCCTGTCCCCAGAGGCTGTAGGGACAGGGGCAGGTTGGGCTGCTCCTTGACAACAGGGCTTAAAATTGCCAAAGGGGAAAAGCACCTCGGGGAAAGCCCTAGCACCTGCCGGCCGGCTGATGGACACCCTCCTCTGCCCCATGAAAAATTCACTTAGAACTATGACACTAATATGCCAGCGATCGTGGCGGTAACAGTTTCTATGTGGTCAGCAGTCGGTAGCCCTACTCTGTTCAAAGTCCTTTCCACGTTCAGATCATCTTCCCAATCGCCCGAGGAAGGAAGAACTGTGATTTTTTTTTATTAGCCTCATTTTCGAGATGAGCGAAATGAGGCTCCTAGGGCAAATTACTTGCCTAAGAGAGTTAAGTGTCAGAGCAGGTCATTAGTGCTGAGCATCTTGTAACTGTGCATAAGGGCCAAGAGTGTGGAGTGTCTTAATTCTTTTAATTATGCTCCCATTAGAGAGAAGGGGCGGGGACTAAAAAGACTAGGCTCTCAGTGGCCCTATTTGGAGAATGAGGATGGCTGTCTTTGAGGGAAACTCACACCTTAGAGTGCACAGAGCCACACCTTAGAAGAAGGAAAAGGGGATCTCCCCAGGGCATAGTTCCCTATAACTTGGATGGAAGGAAAAAGTAAATTCATTCAGGGACATTTTGAATGAAAGGAAATGAGGCTTAGTGACAGGATTTTAGGAAATATTCCAGAGCAGGTCAAAGAGAGAACAGAAATCCAGGTGTCTTGTGGTCATGTTCCTTTATTCTAGATTGTTTGACTCACCGGTTGATACACTACATTATCTCTGACAAGTACATGGGAAACTGCTTTTCAAAATCTCTCTGGAACAGTGCTTCTCAAAATGTGGTACAGGGAGGGGTTCCTGCAGGTACAGAATTCCCAGGAGGCTTGTACAAATGCAGATTCCTGAGCCCAGGCCCACCCCCAGATTTCAACAGACGCTCTGGGACTAGGGCCTATATCCACAATGCGTTTTTCCAAATCCCCAAACAGCTTGCGTGGAACCCCGGTCCCAGCAGATGGTGACTTCAGCTCTGACACATTCAGTTTCAGCTTCTCCTTGGAGCGGATCTAGATAGCATGACATCAGGCTCATTGTCCTTTCCTGTTTGATAAAAGCACAGACCTCAGGGCTAGCTTCCCCAGGTGGAAGCCTCTTCAGCATCCGCTTTCGATCCACGAGCAGAAAATAAAATCAGCCTGGACCCCAGCTTTTCAGAATTGAGAGAAATAGCCATCATGAGGTAAATCTGCCCTACTTTTCTGACAGAAAGTTGAGAATGTCCCACAAATCTTGTTCTTGCATGCAGCTTCCCGAATGATGCCGATTCAGTGCTTGCCTATCTTAACAGTTCATGCGTTTTTATTTCTGTGGCCCAGTTCTGACTTACAGACCCTGAGGGAAGTGCTCCCAGGGGACCTGGCGGGTGGGAAGGAGCAGGAGCTGTTGAGAGAGCCCCGAGGGAGATCCTTCAGGCAAAATCCTGTCAAAAGGGCCGGGAGGGGGCTGGATGCAGCACAGTTACAGGAGGTCCTGGCCCCTGTTTTGTTTCTTGGGTGAAAAGACTGAGTCAGCGAGTTTTGTTGGGGTGGTTGTGGTTATTTCAAAAGTGTGCTTACTTCTCTGCAAAGGTGCCGATGACTAAGTCAGCATTGCACAACCCCAGTTCATAATAAGGCTGCCCTTCCCCGGAAATCTGCTCTTTCAGAACTGAGAAACTATGTCGGAGGGGAGGAAGAAATACCAGTCCAAAATGTGCCCCTTTGGCTTGTGGGTTATTTTGAGCTAAAGGCAATCGAGACCCAGCAGGCTCCAGAAAAACCTTTACCTCTCCCTTCACTGCCTGACAGAATTTCGATAGGGGGCCTGCCCAGAGATAACTCTTTATCTGAAAGACTTGCATGCACAGCAGGGCAAAGGCTGATTACCAGCCCTCTGTACTCGTCTTCCCGGGAATGACTGACTCCCCACTGCCTTGAAATCCCAGGCCCCCGTCCACTCCTCAGCTGAGGATGGTACATGAAACTCTGCTGCCTGACTGCCTTTGGGTCTTAGACTTGTATGGGGCTCCTGCACACATGAAATTGAATCTTTTCTCCCCTGCTCATCTGTCTTATGTCAATTTAATTACTAGACTAGCCGAAGAACCTAGAACAGTAGAAAAAAAATTCTTCTGAGCTGACGGCGTGTACCTGAGGCCTCCTCTTACTGACCTGAACCCATCCACAGGCCTCCCCTGCTGACGATGAACAGGGAGAAAGTGTTGCAGTATCTCAAACCGTAGCAGATGGCGGGTATCCCAACTGAGCTGGGTGCTCTGTTAGAATGCACAGTAGCAGGCCCTGCATTCTGAAATCCAGATTGAGTAGATCAGAAACAAAGCCTAGAAAAAAAATACGTATGTATGTATGTATTTATTTATTTAAGAAAAAAAGTATGTATTTAAAGAGGACCACAGATACTTCGCCTACCCCATGGTATGTACGTAAGTGTGAGGGCAAGACACCCAGAGTGGGTGGGGAGTGGGTGGCCTGGGAAGGACACTGATACAAAGCAAGGCTTGCCCATTGAAGGGGTGTTTGAGGATGAGAAACTGGTGATTAGAAATCTCGGCCAAAGGGGGAAATCTTCCTGGAGCCTTACTACTCCTACTCGCAGTGTGGTCTGAGTCTGACATCCCCCGGCAGGTTGATACAAAGGCAGTATCCCACCCCTACGGAATCCAGATCTGCATCTGCACAAGGCCCTTGGGTGATCTGGTCCCTGTGCACATCAGAGTGGGATTAGCTCTGCTCTGGAGAGTTCCTGGGCTCACTTTCTAAAGTGATGGGCTCCCTGAGTGGTGCCTGTTCTGACCAACTAATTGGGCATGCGGTCTGCCTGTCCCTGCACACATCCCATGCGACAAGCTGCCTCAGAAATTCCTGTTCTTATCATTATGAGGTTAAGGGCCTCTTTCTGAACATTTCAAGATTCTACTCTAGTGATGGCTTTGACTAGGCCTTGGGAGAAGAAGTGGCATCGACGCTGGGGTCCGTGGGTCCTGCCAACAGACTGTCACCATCCAGGAAGGTGGGGAAGAGAAGCAAGAAGGAGCGCCGGTGGGTTAAATATGGGTATTTCCTAAGGACTAGCACTGCCGGTTTTATCTGCTTTGCTCAGCAAAACCTCATGGCTGCAGCTGGAGGCCCTGAGAAGTCTCTTCCTGGGCCAGAGGGACTCCCACCTCCCCAGGGTTTCTCGTAGATTTAGAATCTCCAGGTAGGAAGGGCATCCAACACCCCATGTTTTACTTGAACTTACACATTCTCTTTATTAAGTTTCTGCCACAGTCATCCTACCCGATTGCTTTTTTTCCCTTTCAATATCTGAATTCAATTATTGCTCAGTAACTTCATAAATTGCACACATATACATATAAAGAGCATTTATTTTTTTTTAAAGATTTTATTTATTTATTTATTAGAGAGCAAGCGAGAGAGAAACAGCGTGAGAGGGGAGAGGGTCAGAGGGAGAAGCAGGCTCCCCGCTGAGCCGGGAGCCTGATGTGGGACTCGATCCCAGGACCCTGGGATCATGACCTGAGCCGAAGGCAGTCGCTTAACCAACTGAGCCACCCAGGCGCCCTATAAAGAGCATTTAGAGAAACTTTCCAAAAGCACATGTGAGCTAAATTAGTAAGTGAGGAAGCCTTGGCAAATGCGTATTGGTTTTTAAAAAGGCAATAAGTAGGGGCGCCTGGGTGGCTCAGTTGGTTGAGCGCCTGACTCTGGGTTTTGGCTCAGGTCACGATCCCAGGGTCGTGGGATAGAGCTCCGTGTCAGGCTCTGCGCTCAGCGGGAAGTCGGCTTGGGATTCTCTCTCTCCCTCTCCCTCTGCTCCTCCCCACACACGCTCTCTCTTTCTCTAAAATAAATAAATAAATCTAAAAAAAAGACAAGACAAGATGCCTGATATGACTTCAGTCTTCCTAAATTTTAAGATTTGCTTTGTGGCCTAACACATGATCTATCCTAGAGAGTGTCCCATGTGCACTTTCAGAGGATGGTATATTTTGCTGCTATTGGATGGAATGTTCTGTAAACGTCTAAGTTCATCTGATCTAAAGTGTTAAGCCCGATGTTTCTTTATTCATTTCTGCCTGGATGATCTATCCACTGTGGAAAAGGGATATAGAAGTCCCTTCCTGCTCCTGTCTTGCTGTCCATCCCCCTTCCAGTCTATTAATATTTGCTTTATAGATTTCAGTGCTCATGTGTTGGGTGCATAAACACTTATTAGATATCCTATCCTATTCTTGGATTGACTGCTTTGTCATTACATAATGACTTTCTTTCTCCTCTTTGACTTGAAGTCTGTTTTGTCCAATATACGTAGAGGCACCGCTGCTCTCTTTGGTTTGCATGGAGTAACTGTGCCTGCCCTCACTTTCGGTCTGTGTGTGTCCTGAAAGCTGAAGGCAGCATGTGTTCTTTACATCTGTTCAGCCCTTCTATTTCTTTCGATTGGAGAATTTAGTTCCTTTATATGTGAAGCAATTTTGGATAGTTACAGACTTACTATGGCCACTTTGTTCCTTGTTTTCTGCCTGTTTTATAAACCTTTTGCTTCCTTCCTATTCCCTTGCTCTATTCCTCTGTGATTTAATGCTTCCCTATAGTAGAGGTATGCTTGTATTCTTTTCTCTTTACCTTTTTGTGTATTTAGGACAGGTTTTTCTTTGTGGCTACCATGAGGCTTAAATAAAACATCTTATAACAGATTATTTTAAGTATATAACTTAAGTTTGAAAGCATACCTTTTTACTTCTCCACTTAAGTAGTTGCCTATCTTCCTGAATAAACTGCCTTTTGTTACCATAAATGTCCTAGCATGGTCAGCTCTAGCATTGGTGAAGCTGTGGTATGGATGAAATATCCCAAAGCGTTCCATCCTCAGGGCTCTCTCACGGGTTCAGGAACGTAGAGTGAGCTTTTCTGCTTGCTCTATACTTCATGAGCCATTGACATCTCCCGGAGCTTATATATGACAGGGTGGAAAGATGTTTTATCTTGGAGAGAGAATCTTTATCAATAAGTGCTTAAAATATAGTCTGCTGGGGCGCCTGGGTGGCTCAGATGTTTAAGCATCTGCTTTCAGCTCAGGTCATGATCCCAGGGTCCTGGGATCGAGCCCCGCATCGGGCTCCCTGCTCCGCGGGAAGCCTGCTTCTCCCTCTCCCACTCCCCCTGCTTGTGTTCCCTCTCTCGCTGTGTCTCTCTCTGTCAAATAAATAAATAAAATCTTAAAAAAAAAAAAAAAGAATTGGCTCACATGATTATGGAAGCTGAGGATCATAATCGTGGCCTGCTGTCCACAAGCTACAGACCCAGGAGAGAGCCAACAGTGTAATTCTAGTCACAGTCCAAAGGCCCGAGAACTGGAGGGATAATGCCATAGGGCTCCCGTCCAAGTCTGAAGGCCTGAGAACCAGGAATGCCGACGGTATAAGCTCCAGTCTAAGGAGAGGAGAAGACCAATGTCCAGCTCACACGGCCAGACAGACGGAATTCACACTTCCTCTGCCTTTGGGTTCTACTCAGGCCCTCAGCAGACGCGGTGAGGCCCATCCACACGGGGGAGGGCGGTCTGCTTTCATTCAGTCCACTGAGTCAGCTGCTAATCTCTCCTGGGGACACCATCACACACCCCCCCCCAGAACTAATGTTTAACTAGACATCGGGGGTCCCACAGCCTGGCAAGCCGACACACAAAACCAACCTGTAACTGCGTCCCAGGTGCAATGCTTAGCAGTCGCGCCATCACAGTGACCGGGTTTATTTTCTCCACAGTGAGGTCAACAAGGATTCTCTGGAGAAAACCCTTCCACAGCTGAAATGCCATTTCACCTGGAACTTACTTAAGAAAGACAGTGTCTCAGGTGATCTAGAAGATACAGTGTGTCACCAGATTGAATTCTTAAACACGGAGTCCAAAGCTACAATGTACAATTTCTTGGCCTACGTAAACCACCTGAATGGCCACAGCGAGGCGGCGCTGGAGCACCTGCGCCAGGCGGAGGAGCTGATCCAGCGGGAGCACCCGGATCAAGCGGAAACCCAAAGTCTGGTCACCTGGGGTAACTACGCCTGGGTCTACTATCACCTGGGCAGACATGCAGACGCTCAGATGTATGTCGACAAGGTGAGACGAACCTGCGAGAAGTTTTCAAACCCATACAGCATCGAGTGTCCCGAGCTTGACTGCGAAGAAGGGTGGACACGGCTGAAGTGTGGGGCAAAGCACAATGAAAGGGCCAAGGTGTGTTTTGAGAAAGCTCTGGAGGAGAAGCCCAACAACCCAGAATTCTCTTCTGGGTTGGCCATCGCGACATACTGTCTGGATAATAAACTACAGAAGCCACTCTCCATGGATGCTCTGAAGCAGGCCCTTGAGCTGAATCCCGACAATCAATACATCAAAGTGCTCTTGGCCCTGAAATTGCAGACGATGAATGAAGAAGCTGACGGGGAGCAGTTGGTTCTGGAAGCCCTGGAGAACACGCCTTGCCAACCAGATGTCCTTCGCAATGCAGCCACATTTTATCAAAAAAAAGGTGATCTAGACAAAGCTATTGAACTGTTTCTAAGGGCATCGAAATCCATTCCAAACAATGGTTACCTCTATCACCAGATTGCGTGCTGCTATAGGGCCAAAATCAAACAAATTCAGGATACGGGAGAATCTGAAGCTAGTAGGAATGGAGAGAAGATTGGAGAACTAAAGCAGTGTGCTATTGACTATGTGATTAAAGCTATCGAGAAGGGAGTAGATCCGCTGTATGCATATTCTGATGAGCTCCTGGAAACAGAAGACTATTATCAGATAGCTTGCAGTAAGGAGCTCCCCGGCACTCAGAGGCAACAACCCCACCAGCACTATCGCGACTTTCAGGGGCGTCACGGGAAGTCTAAAGACACTGCTACCCAATGTAATTTGGAGGGTTTGCCCACAAGCACAGAGGAAGGAAAGACGGAATACCCACCACAGAACACCGCTGGAAATCAGCTTCCACAAAATGCACCAAATTCTTGGTATCTCCAAGGATTAATCCACAAGCTGAATGGAGAGCTGCTGCAGGCAGCCGAATGTTATGAGAAGGAGCTGGGCTACCTCCTAAGGAACAGCCCCACAGGCATAGGCAGCCTTCTCCTGCCACTGGCTGAGCTTGAAGAAGGCAGTGAGGCAGTGGGCCGGGGCCCACACAACCCCACTCCCAGAGTTCCCGGAACCCTGAGCTGAAACACAGAGGAGGGATGGGAGCACAGTCAGGGAACCCGCGACACCCCAGGACTGCTTTAGGGTACATTTTTGTAGAGTTGCTTCCTCGTATCTGTCTCCCCTTTCCATCCCAGCCGCGCACACCCCTCTAGCCTGTGGGCCTTACAACAAAATTACCCGTGGACACAGGGCTTCGGCCTGCGTGACGCTGACTCATTCTTAGTTTGCCCTCCATTCATCAGATCTCCCCCATCTCTGTCCTTACTGAGACTCTTAGCTGGCCACTGCCTGCCAACAGCTCTCCCGGACTCTGCCCCTTTGCTATCTAGCCTTCTGGAGCCCCTGAAAGACCACCTTTGAACTAACCCTGGAATATTCCTTATGTCTTCCTCTTGGCTTCAGCCATGTGTTTATATATATTCTCGATTGCGACACTCCAGTAAATATGTGTTCTGGATAGTGATGCTACAATAAATTTTAAAATTGTGACTCAGGATTGAAGAAAGTGTGTGGTTTGCATGTGTGACTAAGGGTAATACTCATTCCCCAAGTTTCTCTCCGGGACACTGTCTAGGAACAGTGGGTAATGATACAGCCGTACCGTACCATTCTCGATGTGCCCATGGGAGCTCCAAGGTGGAACCGGCCTGCCCTTGACTTCTGTTCCAGGCCAGGGCCTCGGCTGAGCCCAGGGCCCAGTCAGCAGCTGCTGCTACTGAGCAGAGTGGCTGTGCACCCAGAAATACCTGGGCAGTGGCCTCCCTGACCGTGTGTAGGGGACACCAGTACGAGGCTGGCTGGAGACAAAGGTCTTCACTCTCCTGAGCGAATGAAAATATTCAAGTATTCATCTCCCCGCTGGGGAAACCCACAGTGCCGTCCACCATACAGCAACTATCCACCTCTCCTCGCCCCACTCCAAGGCCTGCATTCGTATGCTCTCCTAGTGGTATCATCTGATTGTCTGTGTACAGAGGAAGACTGTTATATACCAGTTCCCAGACAAGACAGAGGGCCCGCCATTCCCAACTCCTTTGTGAGTAGAGGGTCAGAAACTTGACTCTTTCCTCATGCAGAAGGGGAGTTCTGGGAAGGTGCTTCATAAGCAACATTGGCTATAAAAGCAGCAGACTGGGCGCCTGGGTGGCTCAGTTGGTTAAGCGACTGCCTTCAGCTCAGGTCATGATCCTGGAGTCCAGGGATCGAGTCCCGCATCGGGCTCCCTGTTCGGCAGGGAGTCTGCTTCTCCCTCTGACCCTCCTCCCTCTCATGCTCTCTGTCTCTCATTCTCTCTCTCGCAAATAAATAAAATCTTAAAAAAATAAAAAAATAAAAAGCAGCAGCCTTCGGTGATGGTGCCCCCCAGCCCTGAATTATCTGCTGGCTCCAGCAAGGCTGGGGGAGCAGCCGAGTGCCCAGCAGTCAATTGCTGACTCCTGGCCAGCCTTGGCCTACAGCAGCACCGTCTCTTGTGTCCAGTTCCAGGGGAGTTGCTGGGTCCATGGAATATGAATATATGAAACCAACATTGAGAGCGTGGAGGAGCGTGGGGTTGGGGGCAAGGTGGGGACTGGCTACAGCGACAGTGGGGGGGGCGCCATGTAGGTGAGGAATGGCCTACCATATGCAAACACACGTGCTCAAGGACACAGATTTTAAATAGTAGAGTGGTGATCAGGGAGATTGGAGGTTTCCCCAACAGGGTTACCTGGTCCCATCCCCAGGAATTATACATAGATGACTCCGAGAAGGATCCTGGACACCACCCAGGCTGTCCCTCCATGCTCAGAGTCCCATCCACCTTCCAGACGGCATTGACGATCCCAGAATTGCTGTTGACTGGTCCTAACCTACACACGTATGCTGTGATTTATTTTGCTGCCCAGACAATTTTATTGAAAAGATGCCTCTGCATCTACAATCTACCATTGTCTGAGGGAATACCCTCAATCTGCACTTCCTGGTGTGTGACCCTGACCTCGCACAACTCTGCCTCCGGAGACCCAGAGGGGAGTAACATAAATTGCTGGTTTTCACAGACATCCACTCCCCCTTATTCCCTGGGAACATATCCAACCTTACCCAACTAGTAACCTGGTGGGGACTTAGAGCTCCGAGACTGATGCCATTTTACCACCTAGGCTGTGGGGCAGGCTCGGCTGGTGGTCACACAGCATGTCCCAGCAGATTCCAGGGCTGTCCACAAAACAGACGACTGGAGGAGCGGGGTGGGGGGGGGATCAGTCTCCCCAGGGGAAACCATGGACTCCTCCCCTCAAGCTTACCAGCTCCAGAGAAGCAGGGACTCTAACTCCTCTGCTCACAACTATATGCCCATCCCCATAGTGCCTGGAATGAATGAGGCTCTCAAAAACTTTTGAGGAATGTAGGAACACACTGTCTCCCCTGAGAATCTGACACTGCCATTATGACCAGCTCAGAGTCACATCTTCCAAGACAACTTCTCTGAATCCTAGGAGAGGGTGCTGGGAAGATGAAACAGTAAGTGCCCAAGCTACAAAACAGTAACAATAAAACAATAGCAGGTTATGTGCTGGCCTCTGAACTAGGATCTGTGCTAAGCGCATTGCTAGCATCTAAAAACCAGTGTGGAAGGTACGAGGCTCAGAAAGTTTTGCTAACTTGTCCGAGGCCCCACAGCTAGGGAAGGGTATGACTGACACTCAAGCCCATAACCGTATGAAACCAAACCACCCTGCTCCCATGCATTTCTGTGCATTCTGATGTGCTATGTCCTGATTTTGCTGGCACAAGCCAAGAGGTTTCAGGCTGTACTGCAAAGGCGGTTCAGAGCCCCGATTTGTGGATTTCTACTAGAATCTTTTCCTGTCATTTTCTCCACTGAATCCAAATTCCCCTCCCTCACATTGACTCCTGTGTGTGATTCCTGAGCATTCTGGCTTTCCATCTTACTCCTCCTTCCCACTGTGTTTTGCAATCTAGTGTCAGGTTTTTAAATGCATCCTGATACAGCAAATTCACAGGACCGTGAGAGTGGTAATGCTCCTCAAGCTACATGCAAAGAAATTTAGAATTATGTCTGTGCAGGGCTGAAACAGCCCCTCCAGAACCACCAGCAGCTGACACAGGGAGCTCCATTTTGTAAAAGTCAGGCCCGGACAGCAAAGATCTCTTAAACTCTCAGTGTATACTAGACTCGGACTTTAAGATTTTCCTCTGCAGTTCATTTTCGATTCATTCTCATAGGAAACTGGGAAGGGTGGAGAGAGCCACACTCAGCAAGTCGTGGCCTGTCTTCTCTCTCCTTTGCTCTACTGGATGGAGTTACCATTCCCTAATAGGCTGCTACATTGTGTTTTCCAATGAGAATCCCAGGAAGTTGGCATCAGGGGTCCCTAAGACACCCACCTGGGTTTGGTGATTCACTAGAAGGACTCACAGGACTCAACATACCATCCTGCTCAAGCATTAGACTTATTACAACAACAGCAAACTCAGCACAGGGAAAGAGTGCATGGGATGAAGGCGAGAGAAACCTAGGCACAAATTCCCCAGAGTTCTGTCCCAGTAGAATCCTACAGATGTGCTTAATTCCTCCAGCATCAAATGTGACCACACGTCTGAAGCTAGTTGGAGCCCCAGTGCCCAAGGATTTTACTGGGGACTCGTCACACGGGCACCCCCTGCTTAGCACATATCAAAATTCCAGACTCCCAGGAGGAAAGCAGGTGTCAGCATTAACCACATGGTTTGCACAAACATCGTGGGCACAGTAAACCAAACTAATCGGTTAGGGAATGGGGGGAACATTCCCAAAATCCCAGTTTCCAGATGCCAGCCAAGGCCAAATCTTGCAAGCAGGCCTTTCTAAGGATCATAGTCTAAGGCCTGATACGTTAACCCTTTCCTGCAGTTCATCCCGTTGGTGTTCGCATGCCACAGGTACCTACCCCTTTATCCTTCCTTTTCCCAAACTGTGCTTTCACTGTGTTTGGGTGGGTGGGGGTCCTTCAAGCACAGACTGAGGGGACCCACGACCCCCCTGGGGTTCGCCAACATGCTAAAAGGACTCACATCCTACGCAGGCCGGCAGAATCGCCGCTAAGTTTTATGATAGTGTAAGGGAGGAAAACAAATCTTTTTCACCTACACTCCCAGGTTGTCCAGCAGGGGCCCTGCCAATTAGGCTGACAAAAGAAAGATTGGTGGGCGCCTGGGTGGCTCAATTGGTTAAGTGACTGCCTTCGGCTCAGGTCATGATCCTGGAGTCCCTGAATCGAGTCCCACATCGGGCTCTCTGCTCGGCAGGGAGTCTGCTTCTCCCTCTGACCCTCCCCCCTCTCATGTGTTCTCTCTCATTCTCTCTCTCTCAAATAAATAAATAATCTTTAAAAAAAAAGAAAGATTGGCAAGAGAAAAACAGCTGTTTGTTAACTGGGACATCCACCCATACACCTAGGGGAGCTCAGGGATGCATCACTTAAAGGGATGAATGGAAGTAGAGCTTATATAGTGCAGGGGAGCAAAAATCTTTCTCCCTCTAACCTCCTACATTCAGTGGCTGGGCCCATGAATCCAACTGATCAGAGCCAGGTGAACAAGAGAAAAAATAGTTTAAATTACATACGTACATGCAGGAGTTCATAAGGAAGACGTGGCTTCCAGAGGTGCAAGATGACTGAGGCTTATAGACCCTCATGCAGGGTTAGTAAGTCACTGGCAGACCTAATCCCCATCAGCTGGTACTCAAACCTGGCAGAATGAATTTGCTGACATCATAATGTCAATGGATTTTCCTTTTCTTCCTTTTTTTTCTTTTTTAAGATTTTCTTTATTTATTTGAGAGAGAGAGTGCATAAGCCTGGGGCGGGGGGCAGAGAGACAAGCTGACTCCCGGCTGAGCGCGGAGTCAGACGCAACATGGGGGCCCTGAGACCTGAGCAAAATCAGACGCTTACCCTACTGAGCCACCCAGGCGCCCCTCGTTGAATTTTTCTAAGGCTTCACGGTCTAGTGCGGGGCCTCCTGTCTCCATGAACACGTGCAGCCCAGAGAGGCCAGAGATAATTGAACTGGGATGCTGCAGTGGCAGCACCAAGCACCTGACAATCGGAATGATGTTGACCGTGTTGAACTCTACCTGAGTCCTGTGCTACTGGACAAATGCAACGGCCAAAAACTCTGCCTGCCCCCCCAACTCTGGTGTCTGAGAATGTGAAGAGTTAAGCTATCCAGGGGATTGCAGCCTCAGTATCCATTTTGTTTCGTTGAATTATTTGTCCCCATGATCAGTCAGAACAAAATGCCTGTAAATTTAACTTGGCCAAATCTCTCTCTTTCCCCACGAGAGCCTGAAATTTGACTCCCCCCTGAAGTTTAACAAGTATTGGAAGGCCAAACAATCCCTTTCCAAGCTTGGCTGACAACAAGGAAAGATTTCCTGATCTCGCCACCCTCTCCCCTCCCCTCCAACATCTTGTTTCCAGCCTTGTTTATACCTCTACATAAAGGA